TTCTAAAAAATTATTTAAAAAATATTAACCCTTTAGACAATTTAAATACATTATCCTGTAAATAATAGGGTATAAAATAGTTTCAGGCAACAGGTATTGTGATACTCTCATAGGAATTATGAAATGTTTTCTAGAAACTAATACATTATATCTTTATATTGATCAAAACTTACAGAATTCAGTGCAGATCATTTCCTAAGAAAGCAAAATGAAAAACTGTCATATATACACACACATTGAACAATGAGTCAAGAGACACCAAGTGAAATATGAGTAAATATGCTACATGGAGTCAGTGATCAAGTAAGTCACCAAGTAAACAATTCGACCAGTTTCCTCGCCCTGTATGTTAACGCTAGGGCAACAATTAAGAAGAAATGGTTTATTGTGGATTGCAGAGTCTGAAGTCATCAAATGCTGGTGGTGGGAAATGGGGCAATAGAAAGACAAAGCAGCCCTGGGCAGGCCCTGGAGCATGCTTACCTCCAAAAGTGAAAGGCCAAGAGAGGACTACAAGGACTGCCTGGGCTGGATGGGGTTGGACTCAGGCTCCTGGGAGTGAGACTGAAAGTTAAAATAATGTCATTCCAAGTGGGAGAATTGATTGCAGTAAAAATAGCATAGCTCAGTTAAGGGACTGTGTTCCCTTAGGCCAGAATCACTACGGCAAGCTTATCAACACCACTAGGTAATCATCTAATCACTTGCCCTTTTCAGCTCTAAAATACAGAACAAGTAAAATGCTTCCTGCTGAAATTTACATTTTAAAAACTACAGCTGCCATTTTTATTTGAGCCTTTTCTTTGTCACAAAGCAACTTGGCAGATATCTTTGACATGTGATTTTTGCATCAAAGAAAATCCAGTGCCATTTTATATTGAGTATATTTTATTCCAGATTAAGAAGACAATGCAAATAAAAATTTAGGTGAAATACCGTAGTTTTTAAAAAGCAAAGCAATTCACATTTCCATATAGGAAGATATGTTTTTAAGCACTTTTGCAAGGAAAAACAAGTCTTCCTTATAACAAAGACCCAGTATTTTATCTAATCCTCAGGGGCAATGAGAAAAAGTGTTCCTATGCGTATATTCAAAATAAACAATTTCAAAAATTATTACAGGTAGTTATACATTATTTTACCTTCCAGAAAGGTCTTCTCAAATCCAACTGTCAATGAACCATTATAATCCCTGCCCCCCGACTCCCCACCCAACCATCTAAACCACCACGATTATTCCAGCCAGTTCTCAAATATTCATCACAGTGTGGTTGGAATAGAGTTCATTTATCTTTTTTTCTTTTTGGCCTAATGTCTCTATTTTTAGAGAGATAAAACTGAAATTAGATATAGTACAACAATTTAACCAATATATATTAAAGCATGAAGTTGATGCTAGTCAGTTACCAAGTATTTTTACATGGCAAAATCAAAGTAAAAATTAGCTAAGTATTCTGTAGGTATTCTGGCCCCAACTCTCAGACTGAAGTGAGCAACAGAAACTCCTGCCAAAGTGCAATGAGTTTCTTTCCTTTCCTTTCTTCTTCTTCTTTTTTTTTTTTTTTTTTTTGTTCTTTTTGAGACAGAGTCTCACTCTAGTCACCCAGGCTGGAGTGTAGTGGCTTACTGCAGCCTCCACCTCCTGAGCTCAACGTGATCCTCCCACCTCGGCCTCCCAACTAGCCGGGACTATAAGCACACACCACCACACCAGGGTAATTTTCGTATTTTTTTGTAGAGATGGGGTTTCCCCATGTTGCTCAGCCTGTTCTCAAACACCTGGGCTCAAGTGATTCTCCTGCTTCAGCCTCTCAAAGTGCTGGGATAATAGGTGTAAACCACCGTGGCTGCCTTTTTCCTTTTTTAGAGATGGGGTCTTGCTGGGCCGAACTTGAACTGCTGGGCTCAAGAGAGCTTTCCATCTCAGCCTCCTGAGTAGCAAGAACTATAGGCACATACCACCGTGCCTGGCTAGTGCAGAGAGTTTCTTAAAGAATGTTATTTTGCCTCTCCGCTGGACGATGGCTCTACACTGTATCATGTTTTCCTATCTTAGAGAATGAGGTCTTGAAACAAAGCTGTATTGCAGTTGATTCAAGCTGGTTGTGCTCTTCATTGGCACAGAGAGTTGGCAACGATGGCTAAAGTCAGATACGGGCTTACCATGGTTTGCAAATTCTAAATACCATCCTTGTCTCCCATTATATGGATAATTGAGACTTGGCTGTGTTGGTCTTAAACTAAAATATAAAATTATTGCTCAAAATGCTCTAATTTAAAAAATATAATGTTTCAACAGAGTAAAGTTTTATATCTTCTAAGACCATTCTCTGATTTGGTACCAGTACTTGGAATTAGTACGGAATTATTTTCCTTATACACTCAGAGCATATTCAAAACCTGCTGCTCTTAAACATGCTGTACTCTAACTTAGCAGCTCATTGGAAAGCTCTCGGGAATGTCCCCTGATATGTCCATCATTTTGTCTAAGAACAGTCTTATCTATTCCTTCTGGTCCTAAAATCAGCATGCATAGGCACTAAAGCTGCTCCCTGTCTCCATGCGGAAATACACATGATGACTGCTATGAAGTGTCTATGTACTCGATTCTATACTTACAATGAAAAAAGAAAAAACAAAAAAATCTGCCTTTCTCAGAAACTGGAAAGCCATGCATAGGCTATTTAGGCATCATAAATTTCTTATAAATTAACAACTTACTAATTTCTGAAATATATATTTGATGTCTAACACCTAAGATTTCAATACCTGAAACAGGAATCAGAAACTGCCCCATGTGTATTGATAAATCCGATGGAAAATTCTAGATTGCATCTACAGAGCATAAAATAGGCTCATGTAATACTCCACAGCTGCAGTGCTTATGGAATAAATTCTTCTGAAAGAAAAACAGTAATGTCTCATGAACAAAAGTTCGAGAGCTGTTCTACACATTTGCTGTGTGAGTTAAGACTATAAGATTGCCAAATAATTAAATTTATATACATTAAATCTGTTTTTAATAGAATCAGTGATAAGATTTTCCATTATAACATTCCTCTGCAGTGGCTAGAAGTTGAATTTACTCAAAGACTGCAGAATTAGCTTTCTCCATGAATGAATGTAAAGTTAGCTATGTCTATTTTACAGTAATTTTGCATTTCAAGGTAAACGAAATGTTCAAAGTAAATCACATACTAATACTACGATGATATTTAAGAGTGATTCTCTATTTCACTCTCACACTCCCTAGGCAAACAGAATTATCTATTTTAAATTCACGGTAATATTTACCAAGATAAGAGGATAGAAGGAGGGGGCGTGGCCTGATACCAAAACAACATCCAAAGATGCCCTGTGTTTAGCTGACTGTTATGTCCTGTGTCAACGTTGGCAAGGTCATAAAACTCGTGGCATAGTTCAGTCTTTCTAATCATAAAATGGAATGTTTGATACAACTGAGTTCATGTTTTTAAAAAGTTACTTTGAAGTGTCTCCTCTTAATGTAGACAAAATTGAAAAAAGAAAGAAACGAAAATAAAGTAAAGGAAGAAGAGGAAAGAAAGAAAAAGCCTAATGTGAAATGATATCTACTAAGTTCAAAGAAAACAACCAGGAAACAGCACAACAGAAAACAGAGGCAAAAGCAAAGCTGGAGGTTAATGCCCCTGGGTTTTAAACATAGAGCTATGGCTCAGTTATGCATTTCCAGAACGCTAGAGAGCGGAGGGTTAAGTAGAAGAATGAGTGCATGCCACTAAAATATTCCACACAGATGGTGAGAGTTGAATGTTAGGATGGGGGTGGAGATGGGAGAAATATTAGGGCAATGGGTAAATACTATTCAAACCTCTAATATGAAGAATGTCACAGCTAGCAAGAAGGTTGTAAGAGCCCTCTAACTTTTTGTAAGTGAGCTGCTCGTTAGTATAAAATCAGGGCACAGTTTTAGAGCAAGGACTGATTAGAAAAGTATTCACTTCAGAATGTCATGCTTTTATCAATTAAGGAAATTATTTCTCTTGTATGATGCATCTACAAAATTCAAGATGAATAAATCATCCCCAGAACCAAGCACAGTTCTCATCCTGTAGTCTCTTTCTGGAGACAGTCCAGTATGAGATTATTGGGACTGTACAGATTTCACTAAAATGTAATTTTATATCTGTGTTGTAAGTTAGAAAGAGGGATATTTATATTTTTTCTACCGGATTTATATTTTACTGTTTATTATTTTAAGTGTGCCAGCACAGACTAACTCACAGCTTCTGCATCTTTGACTAACAGACTTAAAATAAAAATTTGCTGACACTTCCTGCATCACAGATGTCTAACTTCTGCGCCACAAATTAGATGTGGACATGTTCATATAGCTACATTACATCAGAAGGCAGTAGTCAGATGAGTTAATGGGTTAAAAAAAAAAAACAAAACAGCTAAGCAAACACACAGCTCAACTAGGTAAACACATTGCATGCAGTGGCTGGAGATTCTGCAGAGATGATTCTAAATGTACCACAGTTCATTAATATTCTGTTGCACAGATAAAACATGGATCACATCTAATGAACGTCACAAATAACCCTTCTCTTGCACTCTAATCCATTGTAATGTCTTCTATTATTCAATGCAGACAGAGGCCTTTCTTTAGAAAAAGGCAACATGGGGATAAACAAACAGTAAGAGAGAAGAAGAAAAAGACAGATACACCATGGCCTACTGATACATTCTTTCACAATGAGCTGTTAAGATGTTTCCAGAACTGGGGTTTAGTAACTTTAAATATGCAGCAATGCTTTTCCCCTGACTGCAATGCAAAATGCTGGTCTGGGTGTCCACATTAGCTGAAACCAAATACCATGCATTTAAGACATGTTCCTCTACCTCACACTGCAGTGCTCTGAGGCTGTCAGTACAAACAAATGCTAAATAGCTATTGGTCGCCGGAAAGCGAGTGCCATGCAGAAAGCATTAAAATATTAAAGACAGACAATACTTACTCCAAGGTCAGCCCCGGAATCTGTAGCCTTTCCCGCTGGGCTTTCATGGTTGTGATATGTTAGCACACTCTATTGTAACCATGACACACACTCCCTGCCAGCGTCCCGGTGATGACAGAGAGCCAAACCGAACCTCTCTAAAGGACTGGACTAACACTCTCTCGAGGGGGAGGGGGAAGCTGCAAGTTTGGGTCCTTCCACCTCTAGCCGTAATCAAGAGATGCCAGCTGCTTTCCTCAGGTTAACGGCAGTGCACACTGCACTGATTTTGTTAAAGGAACGAGGCTTGCAGCTCTGCATATCAAGTAATTGGTTTCTGATTTTTTTTTTTTTTTTTTAAGAAAGTCGCTTTACTCACAGACCCACTTTTCACCTCAGTGAAATGAAAAGTCCTTTTCACCCTGCAGACTGGGGCAAAAAAAAATAAAGCAACAGTGTCACACTTATAAAAGAGTTTATCTCAGCACACGTCAACTATTCCCCACCTCCCTGTGATGCTCTCGAATAGAATTCAGCCACCCTGAGGAGGCTCGTCTTACACTTCCCTTGGTGGAGTTAACTAAATCACTCATAGTCCCTGAGAAAGAAATGAGGAATAGTGCCACATAAAAATAATTAGATCTTTCTCTATATATGGCAATCATCAGAACGAGGAATAAACTAACTGCATTAATTTGGGGGAAGTCTGACTCTGTTGTGCGGCAAAGACTTGTGTGAACAGGCAAACTCGATGATAGGAAACTACCAACTGGAAATGCAAGAGATTTTTCTTGGCACTTGGATTTTTATTTTCGAAAAGCTCATTTTTAAGATCGCAGTGCTGTATACTTTACAAAAGCAATCTAATATGAATAAGGAGGGAAAGAGAGAACACGAATTTTGAAAGCCTGAAAGTTTCATCTTGTATTTATTCAAAGAACCTAATTTTTGACAGCATTCATAACTTGGAACTAAGTGTACTTCCATTGTAGTGTATGAAGAACGTAACTGACTCACTTCCTCTAATGCATTTTAAAATGTTTTAAAACTTGGCAACCTCTGGTTTGTTGAGAAGAAACACTAGAGCAAATTAGAGCTTTATTTTGTCAAGAACTCTAATTTTCAAGTACTACAAGGCATCTCTTTCTCTCTCTCTCTCTCACACACACACACCCATACACACACACTCAAAGAGAGAGAGAGAGCGCGCCAAACTGTGGAGAAATAGCAAGTATATTCAAGCAGTTATATTTCAAAGGCTATGAATTCAAACTCCGTCTTTTTACAGATGAAGAAACTGAGGGCACACAGTTGGCGGCTATACTAGGATTAGATCCTGGTCTGTAAATTTACTCTTATCCCAGAGGCCTGTCTAAGCAGGGATGCCATAGACAGCTGTTCGGGTTGTGCCCTGGGCAAGGAGGGAGGTGGAACCAACATCTAGTCTGCTTTCCATGATTTTATGCCTGCACCTGGCTCTGGGCTGCTTCCACCCTATCTTTCTCATTTTCACCAAGTCTCCCTCAGCTCTGTGCCCTTCTGGAGGGCTACCTGTTTCTAACTCCACAAAGGTGCATATGGGCCAGTGGAGGTTTATAAGATACTCTCAGAACTCTTTTCTACATCCTTAGCTATCAACTTGCTCTGGGGCATTTGTTAATGTTAACTAGGTACCAACTTATCTCTCAGTGTGAGCTCACAGAACCAACCAATCCTCCTACCCTTTGGAGGTAACAAATCCATACCTGAAATATAGTCACCAACTCCATAGACAGGCAGATAGAGATGTAAAAAGTAATTGTAATTTAGTAGGAAAAAAAAGGATCACAAAAGGAAATACTAAAGACATAATGGATCCCAGCTACTCAGAAGGTTGAGGTGGGAAGACTGCTTGAGTCCAGCAGTTTTGAGACCAGCCTGAGCAACAGAGCAAGACTCCATCTCAAACAAACAAACAAGATATAATAGAACACAAAAAAGAGGACTCAACGTTCCTTAGGAAAGTTGTTTGGGGAAAGTTCGAAAGCATGGGTGTCACAGCCAGATTATGATAAACAAAGAAAAGAAAAAAATCAGTTACCACCCTATACCAAAAAATAAAGCAACATCCCCAAATTCTTTAACTTTTAAGGTAGACATTCATCTCAGGAAACACATTAGAATATTATTCCATAGCCTTCTACACACAGATCTTCTGAAGTAAACTTCAGTTCCATATAGCCAATTGACTACAATACATTTTCACTTCAGTTTCCTTCTACTACCCCTAATTTAACATACCCAAAAGAAAACTCACCATCCTGCCCTCCAAAACCCCAAAATAAGCCTCCTTCCAATGTAAAAGATCCAGAATGCCACCATTATTTCCACCTAATGTCAAAATACATTGACCCAAAATACATTGTACCTTGGCTAGATTATTCCTCCTAACTGGTCTACTTCCTCCCTGGCACCCTCACTTTGGTGGCCACACACAAACTCCAGAGTGATCTCTTTCAGAATATGTTGCTCTTCTGTTCAAAAATCCTCCAACAGTTTCCCTGTGAGTAAAAGCCATAAATTTAGCACATTTGGCCCCAAATGGGATAATCAAGCATCAATAGGAACAACAATGGTAATGTATTACAACATATCAAATGTTTAAAGTCATGAGTTCAAGAAGAGAAAGTTACGTCACCTTGAGAGGATGCTAGAGAACTACTGCAGTCATCTTGAAAACTGATAAAGGGGAAGAAGCAAGCACATCCCCTGCATTCCCTATGAGTTATACCTCACAGATGGGGAAATCATTTACTTTATAGATGCATTCCAATTGGTAAATAAAAGGGGAATTGCGGTTCTAAAATATCACAATTTTTCAGACTCTAAAGAACCAGGGAATCTAAGCCATGATCACCAATGACTGCTGACATCACAAAAAGAGAAACCCTGGACATCGGGAGCCTCTCAAGACAACACACACGAAGTAGTCTTATCAAAAAGACTCCAGCACCCCGGATACAACCAAGTCTATAATCAAAGTATCAAGTTACAGGTTAGAGACAAGGGGATATGTAAACAATATCTTAGAGACGTGATCAGCAAAAGCGAGATATGAAAGTCAGAACAAATGACCTGGTTTCTTAAAATTTTAATGGGGGGAAAAAGAGATGGAAGGGGAACCTAAAGTTTAAAAGAAGGCCAGGCACAGTGGCTCTTGCCTATAATTCCAGCACTTTGGGAGGCTGAGGTGGGAAGATTACTTGAGGCCAGGTGCTCGAGACCAGCTTGGGCAACATAGCAAGACCCTGTTTTCACAAAAAACAAACAAACAAACAAAAGAAACCTTAAGAGATATATCAACTAATTGTAATATATGAACTTTTTAATGGGTCCTGATATCAAACTAATCAAACTCTAAACAAACACACACATAATCAGGCATTTAGGAAATAATCAGCATATTATATATGTACACACTTAAGCCTGAAATATATATTCAGTATATGTATATACGTGTGTGCCTATATATACACACATGGTTTGGATATCTGAGAAAACTAGCCAATCATTTTAAAGTATAATATTGGATCATAATCACCTTTAATTCCCTATCTTTTATAGATACATACAAAAATATTTACAGATGAAATAATACATGTAGAGTTTGCTTCCAGATGATCTGGGGAGGGGAGGTAAGAGTATATAAAATTAAAGTGGCTTTGGTTACTATTTATTAAACTTGGGTAATAGGCAACTAAGGGGTTCATTATACTATTCTCTGCACTTCAGTGTATGTTTGAAATTTTGTCTTATAAAAAATTGAAGAAGAGTCTCACCAGGAGTCTAAAGCTCCATATGGTATGTCCATACCACACCTCCACACCCGCTCTTCTACAGCTCCCTCCCTGACACTCCTCACTACCGTTCACATACACCAAGCACACTTCTGCCTCATCCTTTGCACTCACCGTTCCCACTGCCTAGAACTCTTCTCCCCTGAGATGTCCAAACATCCTGCTCCTGAACTTCCTTTACATCTTGCTTGACCCTATTTGAAAACACAAGACTCCCTCATCTAGTGCTCCTTCTCCTTCTCTCTCTCTCTCTTTTTTTTTTTTTTTTTTTTTTTTTGAGACAAGGTTTCACTCTGTTTCCCAGGCTGGAGGGCTGGAGTCCAATGGCACAATTATGACTCACTGCAACCTCTGCCTCCACCTCCTGGATTCAAACAATCCTCTCACCTCAGCCTCCTGAGCAACTGGGACCACAGACACATTCCACCAGGCCCGGCTAATTCTTGTGTGTGTATTTTTTGTAGAGACGGGTTTCACTATGTTGCCCAGGCTGGTCTCAAACTCCTGGACTCAAGTGATCCAGCCACCTCAGCCTCCCAAAGTGCTGGGATTACAGGCATAAGCAACCATATCTGCCCTTTCTCCCTTTTTTTTTTTTTTTTTTTTTGAGACAGAGTCTTTCTCTGTGGCCCAGGCTGGAGTGCAGTGGTGTGATCTCGGCTCTCTGCAACCTCCATCTCCGGGGTTCAAGTGATTCTTCTGCCTCAGCCTCCCGAGTAGCTGGAACTACAAGCACATGCCATCACAGCCAGCTAATTTTTGTATTTTCAGTAGAGATAGGGTTTCACCATGTTGGTCAGGGTTGTCTTGAACTCCTGGGCTTACGTGATCCTCCCTCCTCAGCCTCCCACAGTGCTGGGATTACATGCGTGAGATGCCATGCCCAGCTTTTCTTCTCATCTTGATGTATTTTTCACCTAACGTACGTTATATTTATTTATTGTCTGTCTTCCCCTATCAGAGTGTAGGCTCCAAGAAGGCAAGTGTGTTGTGTGTTGTTTATAGCTGTTTATTCCCAGTGCCAACAGCAGCCACGTACATATTCAATAAATATGTGATGAAAATGAATGAATGACCCTCCCTATATTGCAGAAACCACCAATTCAGGAGATTTTTCATTTTTTAAATAATTGTAGCTCACCACAGTACTACATAACTAAACAGTGTCAGAGTAATGACCTCAAATAGTAGTCTTAAGAAACGAGAATTGGGACATGTTCAGATACCACATGAAGACCCAGAAAAGACCTTTGCTGGCTCGGAGGCATACATTATGGACTAGCTGTACACACGTGCGTGCAGAAGAAGAGCCTAAGGCTAATGAGTCGTGTGTAGAGGTGGGTTGGGTGGGGGGGACATTGGTTTAAACCACAGTACTTTGATATGACTAAGAAGACATATATATATGACAAGGTGGAAGTTAAGGAGTCTTCCCTACCACTGCTGCATTAATGGTGGAAATATGGGGTTTAAACAAACCCAGAGGCATGGTTTAAAGCTAGATACTTCTATGCATTCTCTAGAGCGGTGGTTCTCAACCAGGTTTTGCAATGTCTGAAGACATTTTTGGTATTACCCTTTACAGCAGGGAATGAGGGGGTTACTGCTATTGGCATCTAGTGAGTAGAGGCCAGGGATGCCGCTAAACATCCTATAGCACACAGATATTGCCCCATAACAAAGAATTATCCAGACTCAAATCAAAAGTGCTATTCTAGAAACCTTGCTCTAGAGACAAGGGTCAATTTCTGCAGGACCCTCGGCATCACTGACTAGTTTTAACATGTCGGTTCTGATTTCATTGCACTCAAATGGGGTGAGGGAGGAGCACTCGAACTGTCTGGCTTCTCATGTCACATTTCTCCTCTGGGAATATTACTTCAGTGTATGTATATACTTCTGCCCCTTTTTCAGGAGGAATGGCTTTTTATAGACAGAGCCTCAGACTGTCTCTAAGTCACAGAAACCTAATTATCAGGGTCTCCATGTCATACAGGAACAGCAACCTAGATATGGAATTCTTAAAAGCAATATGACCCAAACTACATACAAAATAAGCTTCACCACTGCTTATTTTGAGGCCATAGTTAAATAGGCTGACTCAAGAGTAAAGCCAGTTGCATGTGTCTGAGGCACCTGGGCAGACAGGATTTAAACTAAGAGTTTTGACTTCTCAGATGAAATTCAAGGGACAGATCTCCCCAATGCAATATTTTCTCACCTTTTTCCTTTCTAGATCCAAGGCAGCCATAAGGAATACACAAAATCTTAGGGTAATCGTGTTCCCCGAATGTTCAATTATTTCTATATTCTTAAAAGATGTGCACAGTTGAGGAAAACTTTCAAAGAAGGTGAATGTGTATGTGCTCTCTAACCACTCACGTAATCCAGTAAAGGTTACACGAAGTTAATAACATTGTCATTCTCTCAACAGCTCATATCATTCATTTAATACACTTTTATTCTGCAGCCCCTGTTCTAGGTGTGGAGATACAGCAGTGGATGAGACAGAAAGGTACATCTATAAAGTCTCCATTTATCAGGGAAAATAAATAAAGACACACATAAGGTCATTTCTGATAATGACAGGTACTCCCATCACATGATGATGGGCAGTGAGTCAGGGAACAGAGAGTATCCTTAGATCAGGCTGGGAAGATGAGATGATGGGCAAGCTTCATCTGCAGGATTAAAATTGCCAGGTCATGAGAGTCGCGGAGAGTGCTGTGGGCAGAGGGAGCAGCAATTGCAAAGTCTCTGACACTGGAACAAGGCAGGCTCATTCAATGCACATCAGAAAGGCCATGTTTGTGATGACGAGTCATTGAACAAACCTTTAGTGAGCATTATACAATGCATGGCATTATCAGGGATGCAAAGATGATCCATATGTAAGTTTGGGTCTCAAGGATTGTATCATCTGGTGAAGCAGGGAGAGTAGAATAAAAGTTAACAGAGGGGATCAGATTTATGTTCTATATGAGGAGGAGGTAAGAAACAGGTTTGATTTTGGTGGCATCGTTTAATAACGGGAGTTCATTTTTCGAGCAGGTCTTTATAAGAAGCTGGCTAATGGCTTCTCAGGACTCTCTACCACTTCAAAGAGCAGGAAATATGAGTCTATCTGTATGTGTTCATTCACTGAAGAACATATCTTAAGTGTTCACTGTGGGCAAGGCATTAAAGAAGCAAAATGACTAAGACATGACTCTGGTCTACAGAGGCATTATGAGAAAAGACCAGGGTGGAAACATCTTCCTCTCTTCCTCATCCGTCTCTCTCTCATCCTTCTCTCCTGCTTCTCTTCCTTCCCCAGACAACATGGGCCCCTTTCTCCCCAATCAGAGAGGGTTCATCATTGTTACCTAAGGTGTCAAGTTTGCCACCTGTACACCTCTTCTCAAGAAGCTCCTGCAGGATGTGCTCCACATGAACAATGAAAGAAACCATTGAGGAGAAATGGATGAGATCAAAGAAAGGGTGGTACATGGAAAGAAGCAAAAGGAATTACCATGATGTTAATAAGGGTGAGGGAAATCACCAAAAACTGCCACCATGCAGTAGACGTAGATAGCACACCATCCAGCTTGGAACAGAAAAAATGGAGCGTCCAGGAAGGAGGCTTTGAGAAAAAAAACTTACAGGTTATCTGATGTGTTTGATAACATGGAAAGTGCAAACAAGAGTTTTATAGTTCTACTGAACAATATGGAAAGGATTCATGACAGCTACATAAAACCTAAACAGAAGAAAAACACCCCAATTACTAACTCCAAAGAAAAGCACAAAGTTATAAAGGAGAGGAACATTATCATTGGTTCATCAGTGGGAAAAAATACACATACACACACACACACACATACACACACACACACACACACACATATCATGGGAGGCAAAATAATGGCCTCTCTAAAGATATAGCAATCCTCAGAACCTGTGAATATATTATTTTACATGACAAAAGGGGCTTTGCTGATGTGATTAAGAGTCTTGAGATGAAGAGATTATTCTGTATTATCTGTAATATAATGTAATCATGATTTCCTATAAGATAAAAGAGGGATACAAGAGATACAGTTAGAGAAGGAGATGTGACAAAAGCAGAGGTTGGACTGATGTGGCCAGGAGGCAAGGAATAGGTCAGTGTTGCTGGAAGCTGGACACCTAAACTTTCCAGTCATGGATAAGCCATGTCCCCTTTTCTTAGGATAACATGGGTTGGCTATTCCATCACTTGTGCTACAAAAATTACCAAGTGATACAACCGGAAAGTTTTATGAGTTGTTGTTCAAATAATGTCTTCGATTTAATGCTTTCCTTTTCATAAGAAAATAACAAGGCTATGGAACCTTAAGGCCTAATTTTTAAATGCCCTCTAATAGTAGCACTGCTTGTAATAACCCAAAACTGAAAATTACCCAAGTGCTTATCAATAGCAAAATGGCTAAGTACATTATGGCACATTCACATGATGAAACACCACACAGCAATGAGACTGAATGGCCCACAACTGCAAGCAGTAATGTGGATGAACCTTGCAAACATCAAGTTAAGCATAATGTTGAGCAAAAAGAAGTATAACTGTGGAAATGTAAAACGGTGCAGCCGATGCAGAAAATGGTATGGCAGCTTCTCAGAAACTTAAACACAGAA